ATTTTCTTTCTAAACATGAGATCAATGGAACCTGACCCAAGATGTCACATGTAACCCTCAGTTCATTATCATATCTCTGGCCTCCAGACTTCTTGGCGGAAGTATTCTTCCTTGTTCCATATCATGAGCTTTTATAGCAGGGGTCTGCGATTGGAAATTGACGGCCCTGTTTGATAAGTTATCTGGAAGTATTTTAGTACATCAAAGGACTCTGAGCGCTGTCTTCTTCAGTTTTTACAAGCCGTAATGTGTGCTGCATTTGCTGACTGACGTTCATGCTGGGTCATAAAGAAGCAGACTCCCACCTTTAAAGTGCCTTTTATTGCTAAGAATCTATTTTCAACCAAGTGTAGACATATTGTAACACTTCTTACTTTATTATTGTTATGTACCCAGCGAAACGTAGTTTATTGTCACAATGGCCTAGAATTGCTTTAAAGATATGTGCTTGAGAATGAATACCACCAATGAGAATCAGAATCAGAATACCTTTATTAGTCCCACAGAGGGGAAATTTGCAGCGTTACAGCAGGAAAGAGCCACAGACAGCTTAGTGTTGCATATCTGAAATGCGTTAAAAAAGTACTAAGTTATAATATAATAAACAAACAACACAACAATATGCTAAAAAAGTACTAAGTTATAATATAATAAACAATGGGAAAAATACTTGAGTAAAATTTTCTCTAACCTTTGCCAGGGGTCCACAATAATTTGCCCGAAAGGTTTGTTTTTTTTTTTTGGCGCAAACACGATTACCTTAAAAGGTTCCTTCCAATTCCGTTGACAATTTATCGTTCACGTGGAGTGGGTGAAAAATTAATTATACCAAAGTGAACTCCGTTTAAAAACAAAGGGGTTTTTAATAAAGTGGGTTGTTTGGTCAAGTAAATTTAGAAGGGGTGGTCTATTAGATCCAAGTTCCTCCTGGTTTTAGAAAGGGTCCCCCCTAATTCTACCGAAATTTTACATAAGACGGATAACTAATAAACTGTTGAAAGAATCTCCTTCATCAGTAACTTGGCGTAACATGACAACAAGAACCATCACAAGTTCATACTGGTCCGGGATTATCTCGATCTTTCGTGTCCGTCCCTCACTTTGCGTACGGAAATTGTAACGTGGAGGACCGGTACCACAGTCTTGGCAATCGACCTGGGAGACAAGGTTGACTGTCGGTGGCCGGACCTTGTTCGACGCAAAGGCGCGACCTTGACAGTGACAGAACAATTTTACACCCGTCCTCTAACCACTTTGTCGTCCGCATTTGCCGGTCTATGATGGTGAACCGACCTCGATAAATACTTTGGTGCCACGTCTCTTCCGCGACGCACGAAATTTTTGGTTATTCCTTCTTCCCAAGTCCATGGTGTACCTGTTGGGTCCTCGACGTATGTCTCTCGCAAACCGGACAGGTCCATTCTTCACCTTCCTTCCCTCTAACGTCATCAGCATCCCGCTCAAGAAAACAAAAACCTATCGTTCATACACTTCCGGTCTTGCAAGGACTCAACTGAGTGTAAGGTCCGAGTGTGAGGGAGGTTTAGATGCAGTAGCGATCCTGGTGAGTTCGACTACGATGGTTCTCCAGTAGGCGTAATGACTTGTCGTGTCTCTGTGTTTTCGTCTCCGTCTATGTCAGTCCTGGTGTAAAATATCCTCATCTCCTATGTGTCTTGTAACGACTCTCCAAGACATCTTCAGTGTCGCTCCGAGAGGAGAGGTGACCTGTGTTTTCTTTAGTTCCTCTCCGGTGAATTCTTTCTAGCTTCCATTTTTACAAAAAGAATCCGCTGTACTGCCAATAACAACCAGTCAAAATCGTCATCCTGTAAATTTTATGATACACTCAACGAAAAGGATATCATAATTCATAAAATCATCTAAACTTCGTTTCATCCTTTACGTAGACCTGGTTTGTGGTTGGTTAGTTTAGTTACAGACAGTAGAAGGATGATGTGACTGAGTTTTCCGACATGGGACTGGGGGGGGGGGGGGGAGGGGAGTGTGCACACCACAATAAGTCTCTAACCCCCACTTGCTATCTTTTCTGCCCCGAAAATAGTACGGATTAACTGAGTTCTCGTCGTAACAGCAAACCGAGACAATAATTAGGTCCCGGACCCGCAATTGGTAACAGTATTGGTGTCACTCACAAACAAATGTAGTGGACCGAGAGTTTAAACCGACTTACTTGTAGAAGGCAGCTTGTACGTGAGTGTAAAGATAAGAGTAGGTACGTTACCGAATGACAAAAGGAGCGAGGTTTATTGTGCCCTTGTAGTACCTTAGTTAAGTTTTACACGGTGAGAAATTTAACTCGCTGGACCTGTAGTCATGCCCGTCTCACGACTCCGGTATTATTGTGGGTTAATGAACGACTGACTACAGTTTACCACTTAGCGGAGTCGTAGGCGCGTCTCAATTTTCTTTGATTAACAGTGTTCCGGGTGATTGGTCCACGGTGACGACCTCCTCCTCGATTATGAAGGCAAACGTGGACCAGGCTTGAAAAGGATAGTGAAAGGTTCAACTTAGGTGCTCCTTGAAGTTTGTGGGAACGTAGGTAGGTCGGTTAGTGTCTCTAGAAGGTCGTGGACCCTCACTCGAGAGCTGACTCCTGTCATCGTCCGGTCGCTCGTCCTCGAACACTAGATCAAAATATTGTGGGTTTGTGTTGTAAACCCAGTCTCGTCTGTCTCTCTGACGGTTGACAAAGTACGACAGGTGTCATACCTCCCAACGTCCTATATATGGGGTGTGTTGTCGTAGTTTTCCATCTAGAAAATAAGATTCGTAGGTTTTCTTGTTAGAAAAGTTGCTACTAGTTTCGACGTCGCGCCGGCCATCGAGTCTCGAAAACGCTCTTTAACTTTACACCAAAGGCGAGAGAACGAAAGGCGGGTGGACCGGACAGAGGCGACACCGACCGCCCTCAACCCCTATAAGTAATTCGAAGGTATCAACAATCGAAACGGCTTAAGCGTCATAAATTTTACGATAATGGTACAAAGAGATCGTGTTTTTTGTGGTGTCCGAGAAGTCCTATTCTAATAATTTACCGGGTTACTCACTCATATGAGATTTCTGTATACATCAGAAATTCGTGTCGTGAAACTGACAGTCATATGTCGACGTTAGATATACATTTTATTACCGACATGTAAGGAAAGAGAATATCAACATCTGGGATTTCAATAGGACGTGATACAAGTTATAAGAATTTTAACAAAGTTAGTTTTTCCACTATGGGTGTTAATTTTCATTGATAGTGTCTAAATAGGTTAGTAGAATAAATAACATATACAACTCCCATCTATTCGTACCAATGAACTAAACAGATAGAAACGTCCATAAGCATACTGACTGTGGTAGACGGAGGTGGGAGAAGGACATAAAGAAGTCTACGTGATTATTTACGTTTTTTCTTTACTTGTAAGTAGGACATTTTCAACGTTAACGGATACTAGTGTGATGTCGTGGTACGACAAAAATTCACTTCGAAGTTGTGCGCAAAGGTGACGTTGTGTAAACTTCTCTTTAAGTCTTTTAATTAATTAGGTTTGGAAAGTACTACAAACGAATTAAACTGAATTTGTCAAAAATGCTTTGTAAATAATAAAGGGGAAAGTAAAAGACAGACAGCTCCCCCTTCGTCTCCCTCGAACGTCCGGAAGTCCTGGCGGAGGGTTTATCCTGTTGTTTAAGGTCTTATTTTAATAAGTCAGTGTGGTCCTGGGAGACTTACTAGACGCAGTCGGTTGAGATGTGGAGTTATTACGAACAAACAAAAAAACACGCGTCCCGTTTTATAGAACTAGTAATGTCGTACACCTAACTCACTGAGTCCGGAAGTCTAGACCTTGTCTCTCCTCGACTTCTCATGTCTCCTCGACTCCACCTTTTAGTCTCTCCGCTTTTTGTCGATGCCTTCTCTACCTCCTTGTCGACGACGTCCTCCCTTGCAGTCACCTGCAGACCTCTCCGGACTTTTGGTTAGAGACCGATGTTTCTCGGTCTGAGGGTCCAGACCCCCCTGCCGGTCCCCGTTTGCTGGACTTATAGAATAAGTTGTCCTAAACTAGTCAGTACGCGGAGGGATCCGGGGGCTGGGTAAGGGGGGACGACGTGGGGGTAAACAGGGGTGACGGACCTTTACCCGGGACAATGGACGAGGGTGGAGATGAGTCGGGCCGGTAGTCGAGTGTCTGTGAAGAGTGTAGTTGGGGCCAAGAAGAGGTGGGGGGCTGCTGTGCGAACGGAAGTGTTGGATGGTCCACTCCTCCCTCGAACGTCTTCACATTCCCTCCTTCCGCCCGCCCAGGTCTACCGTGTCGAGCTCCGAGGGAGTTTAGGACACGTCTAGTCCGACACACCCTAACACCTCGAAGAAAGTTGGACTCGGACTTCGTTTCCCTCCATGGTGTTGACACCTTCTGAAGGACACACCACATGACACGGTTTCTGGGAGTGGGGGTTCCTTAATTGTCGATGCCGGTCACCGGCGACTGTAGTGTCGACTTACTTCTGGGATCTCTCCGACAGGAACCTGTGGAGGCAAGGGGAACATTCTGGTAGGTTACCTAGGGCGACGTCAAACGGATGGTCAGACGTAGCCCCACCTACTGCGACAGTAAGATGGACGACGTCTCCAGGGAGAGGGTGGAACCTCCTTCCGACCCCCGTGACACTCCTAGTACAAAAACTAAAGAGGTCACGGAAGGTAGTGGTAGGTCGGGGGTGAGTGCCCACCTGTTTCGACGTCGAGAGCCCCCACCTAGTGGTGGAGATGGAGGACCTAGGACTGATGGAGTGTTGGCGGGGTGTCGATGCACTCCTGGTCCCTCACAGGGTGTAGCCGTCATCCCCCGGGGGGTCCCCTGCTACGACCGTGGCAAAGAGAAGTGGGAGATGTGACGCTGAAGTGGGTGTTGTGACGTTGGACAGTGGACGTCCTTTCAAGAGACTGCTGAGGCGGGTAGCAACTGGAGTAGTGGTTGCTACCTGCTGTCCCTCATGTCCCTCGACTGCTTCCTGAAGTGGAAGACCACGGTCTCCTTGGTAGAAGTCGGACTTGCGTCGCTTCTGGTTCCTCGACCACCACCTAAAGTTTGCGGCGGTTGTGAGGGGGCTTGTGGTCACTTGTAGTGGGGGGGGGGGGGGGGGGGGGGGGGGGGGGGGGGGTGGGGGGGGGGGGGGGGGGGACCCTCGTCTGTACTTAACACCCTTAGCGATGTTTATGGAACCCACAAGTTGACTTTGTTATCTTGACTGACCTGACTGTTTAATACGTACGGAGACATGTTCTTGCCCTGTCTCGCCTGAGAAAGACGACTCCTCTGACCTCCAGAAAAGACCACGTCCCCCGTGAGGAAGTCTGGAAGCAACTGAGACAACCACCCGGTAGTCGGTACAAAGATACCACACCCGGACGACCCCGTCGTCGTAGAGCCAACGACTGCCCTTCTCTCGACTGTCAGACCATTCTTCCGGTCGAGACAGGACCCCTCAGAAGACCTGTGACACCTCCACCACCCCTCTGTCCTCTTACCCGTCGGTTCGACAGGAGGGACGACCTGTTACACAAGGGTGGGGGAGGTCCTGTGGACAGGACGGTGACACGCGTGAGTCGCTGGTCCTACGACGGTGGGGTGGATAGTGTCCTCTCCTATAAGGCGTCCAGGAAGGGAAGGGACGTCGCCAGTTCTGAAATGTTGGTCGTGAACGGGGATCCCTGGGTAGGATGTGTGTGGCTGTTTGTGTCTGATATTGTGGGGACGACGATTTATTGTTTGGTGAAAGCACTGTATACCGATATACACTATATATATACGGTAATTTATTTACATTAATATGGACCGGTGAGTTTATTAGCTTATAATATATACGGCAATTATTGTACACATAATATCGACCGACAATTTTGGGAACAATGACAATGTTCAATACATAGAACATAAAACCATTTAACACATTGAACGCAGACAATTTTTATGCAGCGTTTGATACACGTTATACACGAAATACACGTTATATATGAAATATATGTATACGGTAATTATTGAGCATTATAAAATGGCCCGACGATTTTAGGATTCTTGACGATGTCCTAAACTAACATCTAAACTAATCAAAACCTTAGACATAAAAACTCTTAATACATTGAAAAAATTGAAAATAGAAGAAATCC